AAACCAACGTACATGTCTTAGTTAAAAATACTTCATTGCTAAAAAACAATGCTCACCATCATCTGAGCCTTCAGCAAGTGGTAATCTTTTTGCTGGTGGAGGGTCTTGCCCTGATGTTGATGGCTGATGACTGATCAGGGTGGTGGTTGCTGAAGGCTGGGGTGGCTGTGGCAATTTCTTAAAATAAGACGATAATGATTGACTCTTTCACTTGAACACTTAAAGGTCATTGTAGGGTTATTAATTGACTTAATTTCAATATTGTTGTGTCTAAAGGAACACAAGAAGAGAGGGAAGCAGGGACAGTTGGTGAAACAGTCAGAACACACGCAACATTTATAGATTAAGTTTATTGTCTTATATGAATGTAGTTCAGAGTACACCAAAACATTTACAATAGTAACTTCAAAATCACCGATCACCATGACAGATATGATAATAATGAAAAAGTTTTAAATATTGCTAGAATTATCAAAATATGACACAAAGACATGATGTGAGCACATACTGTTGGAAAAGTGGTGCTGATAGACTTGCTTGACACAGGGTTGTCACAAACCTTCAATTTATAAAAAATATAATATCTGTGAAGCTCAATAAATCAGATCACAAAAAAACGAGGTAAACCTATAAGTGATTATCTGCTTATCTCAACCACACACTGGTGAGTAACATTTAGCTTCCTAAATGACTCTCCCCACGTTCTTAGTTTCATTTTGTCAGAGTTCCACCTTTCTCTTCTGTGTAGGTTGGCAGAAACTACAAGGGAGAAGAGATTATAGCCACACCTGACAGAGCTCTGGGTAACCCTGGGTTTGCAGGATGGTATCTGAGAATCTCTGCCCCAGGCATCAGCTAGCATGTTTCTTAACTGACAACCTATCTGTGTTACTTGGCCTCATTATGTGTTCTATGGAATAATGCAATGGACTGGTCTTCCTCCTTTAGTAGCCTAGATAAACAAATGGAATTTCATAAGAAAACTCTGGGTGCAAATGAAATGGCTCTCATTCCAGACTCATGATGTGAGCACCCAACCAGGTCTTAGGGTAGGGTATATGCACTGATATGTACTAGAAAGAGAAAAACTGGGAGACTGGAAAACTTCCAATGAGGAAGCTTGACAAAAGCAAGACTAATCCACTTTGCTTGGAGCAGGGCAGTGTTTGGTACATTTCCACCAAAGAGAACAACACAGAAAACTGAAAATAATGATCAATGCTGAGGAAACCGTTCTCCTAGTTCCCTATGGTGTTTACTCTTCATGTGGGACTCTATATTTGAATATGGCTGACTGGAAGACATTATGTGGCACAATAAATGCTTTTTGACTGATTAATTGATCAGTAATTTGAGCACTGATAACACAATGCAGATTCTTGTCTGTAGTACAAGTCCTCTTGACTATTATTGTCCAATCAGAAGGAAATTTCACAGCCCTCCCTTAGGCTTAATTTTGAGTCCTTTGAAGCTACAGTTTAAGTTTGCTGATTGATTTAGGTCCTCATACATTTGCTCTCTGTAGCAAACATCTTTAAATATGAGATACATTTGTTCTTTGTTTTTAAAGGGACTACCTTTTATATAAAAGGCAGCTGGGGGTGCCATAGTGCATAGAGTGCCAAGTTTGGAGTCAGGAAGACTCATTGAGTTCAAATCTGGCCTTAGACACTTTCTAGCTGTGTGACCCAGATGTACAGTAGGAATAAGAGTGTGGAAACATGACCATGTGTATCATGGTAAATTTAAAACAGCAAAAAGCAGCTCTATCTGGGAAAACTTTCATGTCGCCCTGGGTCATCCCTGGTACTCTGCCTTCTTTGTTCTTTTTCTAGATAATATCTGGCCTGACCTAGGGTTGGCTTGGTAGAGAGTAAGCTCCCCTGAATAAGATCTATTTCCTTCTATGCTATCATGGACTGCTCCTCTTTCTTCAGTATCTTGGTATTTTCTCAGAGGTAGAACTGTCCCTCAGGATAGTCTGCCACCCTACAATTGGCACAATCAGGCCAGGACAGATCTGCTACCTTGTATTTGGGTAAGTCACTTAACCCCATTTGCTTCAGTCTCCTCATCTATAAAATGAGCTGGAGAAAGAAATGACAAACCACTCCAGTATCTTTGCCAAAAAAACTCTAAATGGGGTCATGAAGAGTCGTACGTGACTGAAAAATGACTGAACAACAACAACAACAACAACAACTCTTATGAAAAGCAGCTCTGGCCCAGTGGATGGAGAGCTGGCTTCAAGTCAGGCCTCTGACACGTATAATGGCTATGTGACTGAGCAAGTCATTCTCTCACTCTCCTGGGCAATCCTCTTAAGACTGAATTGCAGATAACAGCAACGCTGTGTGATGATCAACTATGATAGACTTAGCTCTTCTCAGCAATACAACAATCCAAGACAATTCCAAAATACTCATGATAGAAAATGCTATCCACATCCACTTAAAGAACTATGGAGTTTGGATGCAGAGTGAAGCATATTATTTTCACTTTTTTGGGGGTTTTTTTCTTTCTCATGGTTTTTCCCTTTTGTTTTGATTCTTTCACAATATGACTAATGTGGAAATATGTTTAACATGATTATACATGCATAACCTATATCAGTTTGCTTGTTGTCTTGGGGAGTGGGGAAGGAAAGGAGGGAGAGAGAAAAATTTTGAACTCTAAATCTTATAAAAATGAATGTTGAAAACTATCTTTACACGTAATTGGAAAAAATACTATTAAGGAAAAAAAAAGACTATATTGCAGAGAAAGGGCTGATCTTTATGGGTAGAGTTTCGTGATAAGATAGTCCCTTATACCATGTTCCTATGGTAGTGCTGTTCAATAGTGTCTCACACCAATGAAATCTCAGGTCTAAATCCTATTCTTATTATGACCCTATATAGGCTTAGCTCATTTAAAATTTTCAAAACCAATAGGAAATTTAAACTATTAAAAATAAAATACATTTATTTACCTCTAGCTAAAATCGTATTATCCATTTAACTGAAATCAAAATAAAACTTACCCATATGTAATTCACTCAAGTATCAAAGCAAATTACAATTGAATTTTTCATCTGGAAAGACAGAGCAAGCCACTAATTCTCTGATTTCCAATGGGCAGGAATTTTGCTTCTATAATCTGACAAATACAGAAAAAAATTACTTTTCTTATTAAAAAATTCCATTTCCTGATATATTTATTGAAGGATAAAGTATGTTTTATTTGGCATGAGTATATGCAAACTCTAAGACCTTAGTCTTAGATACAGGAAGAGCTTGGTCAACATTACTGTGATTGCTCTTCTTCAAGGATGACACATAGAAGAATAAATTGCATGTCATAAAATATGTTCTTTCAAACCATGGTAATAACCTCCCTATGTAACAATAAATCAAATGCCACAAATCACCTTCCATTTTGGAAGTTGTGTGAAGGAAGGTAAAGTAGTAAGTTTACAGCAGGGTGATAGCTATTGTAAGAATTTATGGTAGACTAATGCCATACTTGAAATTCCTTTGCTTTTTCCTTCCTGATCTGTGCTTTCAATAGTTTAGGGAACTCCTAAACTATTAGGTAACTAAAGCAGGTAAGCAACTCATATAATCTTAGAGAGCTGCCTAGGATACTGAGAAATTAAGTAGGAAGGAAAGGAGGAAGGAAACAAGCATTTATTAAGTGCCTACTGTATGCCAGGCACTTTGCAAAGTACTTTACAAATAGTAACTCTTTTGATTGTCACAACAACATTGGGAAGTGGGTGCTATCACAATTTTATCCCAATTTTTCAGTTTAGGAAACTGAGATAAACAGAGGTTAAATGACTTGCTCAGGAACACACAGCTTAGTAAGTGTCTGAGACTAAATGGGAACTCAAGTTCTTCTGACCCTAACCACTACACCACCTAGCTGCCTCTGGTTACTCCATGGAAGTGACACAGCCAGTAGGTGTCAGAGGCATGGCTGGAATCCAAGTTTTCTTTACTTAAGACTTGATGTCTAACCACTGTACCAGGTTGCCTCTTACCTTAAATGCATGATTAATACATTTAAAACTTGTAAGACATGCTGTTATTAACTAGTACTCTTTGAAGTATTACAAATGTAAAAATATAAAATACTTTTGAAAGCTACTTTTCCCTTTAGGGAGTAGTCACTGGGAATTTTTATTTATTAACATTTTTAGAAAGATGTAGGGGCAGCTAGGTGACGCAGTAGATAGAGCACTGTCCCTGGAGTCAGGAGGAACTAAGTTCAAATCTGGCCTCAGACACTTGACACTTACTAGCTGTGTGACCCTGCGCAAGTCACTTAACCCCACTGTCTATCAAAAAGGAAAAAAAAACAAACTAGAAGCAGCTAGGTGGTGCAGTGGATAGAACACCGGCCCTGGAGTCAGGAGAACCTGAGTTCAAATTCAGCTTCAGACACATAACACACACTAGCTGTATGACCCTGGAGCAAGTCACAGCCCTATTTGCTTCAATTTCCTCATTTGTAAAATGAGCTGGAGAAGGAAATGGCAAACCCCTCCAGTATCTTTGTCAAGAAAACCACAAGAGGAGTTATGAAATGACTAAATAAGAGCTAGGTGAATGCATTTCTTCCAAGTCTAAATCTATGAATCCATAAATACAGTTACTGTCCTATCACAGCCAAAATTCTGGAGAAAGTTGTCTATACCCAATGCCTCCCTTTCTCTCCACTGTCTCTCTTTTCAAACCCCTGGCATCTAGGGTTTTCTTTCTCACCAATCTCCTGAATCTACTCTCTAGAAAGTAACCTCAAAGTCATCTCAAAGTCATCTTTCCACTCACCAAAACCAGAGGCCTTTTTTCAGTATTTATCCTACTTGACATCTCAGAAATATTCTTCCTGTTGACTATTCCTTTCTGGACAGTCTTTGATTTGAGAACCCTCATGCTTTCTCTCTTATCTGCTTTTGCACTGTCTCTGTGTCACTGACTCCTCTTTGTCTTTCTGTAGAGGGCTGAGATGGAGTGTGTTCCTAGGTCCAGGCCAGAACTTATGTGAGGCCTGTTCCCCTGAGAATATGCTCACAATCATCTGTAACGGCTCTCCAGCACCCTGAAACCATGATGTACTTGTAGATAAGAGTTCCTATAATTGGAGGCACAGAGCCTGAGAAAACAACATAACCCAAGGCACAAGAACAAGGCTGATAGCTTCTTGGCACGTAATTGTGGTTTAAGGTTTTATAAACCTTTCCCTCAGATCATTAAACGGACTGCTTGCTTGCATCCCGCCTGACCCGTGTCTTTTCTTTCACTGCGTCTCCGAGCCATTTTGGGAGCGCGGGCCACTCCCTTCACTTGGCGCCCGAACAGGGACCTGACTGAAGCCCGGGAACAGACTGGTCCTTCGGAGAAAGCAGCCCCCTTGAGAAAGGAGCTCCGCGCTAACGCACAAGGTAAGGGGAAGGCTCGGAAGAGCTACTTCGGCAGCACTTTCATTTTCTCCCGAGCATTCATACAGGCACAGCGTAGCTCAGCAAGTATCAGGCTTAACGGGGAGTAAAGCTGTGTTTCAGAGCTTAGCTCTGACTAGTAAGGAACAACAAAATGGGACAATTACAAATAAAAGAAAGAGATGAGCATACTTACGTTAGAGTATTACAACAACTTATGAAAGAGAGAGGTCTTTACTGCAACACGAAACAAATGAAGGAATTTTTGTCTGTAATTTACATTTGTTCTCCCTGGTTCCCTAAAGAAGGAACTGTAGATATAAAAAAATGGAAAATAGTAGGAGAACAGGTGGATGAATATTATCAAACTGCAGGCCCTGAAAATATCCTAGTTTCACTTTCTCCTTGTTTAATGCTATTAAACTTTGCATGCTATCACCCACTGAGACAGGACAGGTTCGAACCTTTGATCAGGGCACACAGATAGAGGAATTGGAACAAGAAAGTGATAAAGCAAATATAGAAAGGGAAACAGATCCTACTTACACAGTAGAAGGGTTTAATAATCCTTTGGCTCCCCCTGAGGTATCAAGTCCATGTTTTTCTCAGTGTCCCTCTTACTGGCAAACTTCTTTGTCAACAAAACTAAAAAATAAGCCTAAATCAGTACTAGAAAGGGCATTCCAACAAGCTAGCCAGAAAGGTGAAGACATGACTGAATTCATAGGTCATGTAGGATTTTTTTCAGTCCTTGAGACCCCTAATCCTAATGACCCAAATGATCCTATCAGAGAATATGCTTCTTTAGATCTTAAGTTGATTAAAGAATTAAGAAGTGCAGCCACCACTTATGGGCCACTATCCCCATATGTACAAACTTTATTGGATAGTATTTCTAGAACAGCTTTAACGCCACATAATTGAGCCAGTATAACTAAAATGTGTTTGGAACAAGGTGAATACTTATTATGGCAGTCGGAATACCATTATCAATGCAAAATGCAAGCTAGAGATAATGAGAACAGGGATGTCAATGTTTCGTTATGAACAGTTATCAGGATCAGGAAACTATACTCTGCTAGGCAATCAATTAGGATATCCTCTGCATCCTTATCAGCAAGTTCTACAGTGTGTCCTAAAGCCTGGAATTCATTGCCAGGAAAGGAAGATAAAGGTGCTTCACTTACTAAAATTTTGCAAGGACCCATAGAAACTTTCCCTGATTATTTGGATCGCCTTACTACAGCAGTTATTCGTGCTATTGGGGACAGCACCGCATCAAAAATAATAATCCAACGTGTGGCACGTGAAAATGCTAATGCTGACTGCAAGAGAGCATTTGCAGGAATAACAAAAGACACTTCAATAGATGAGACAATTAGAAAATGTTCTAAAGTAGGATCTCAGACTTATTATATAAATGAATTGACAAGTGAAATAAGAAAAATGAATTTACACCAAGACACAAGAAATAGAAAATGTTATGGGTGTGGTAAATTTGGTCACCTCAAGGCACAATGTAGGAACATAAAAACGCCTCCCCCTGGACCAACATCTGTGAGGCCAAGAACTCCGTGTCCACAATATAACAAAAGATTTCATTGGAACTCCAAACGCAGGAGTTCGGGAAGCTCCCAAAGGGGCCAACCCCGGGCCCAGGCAACAACAGGGGCTATGACTTTACTGCCCCCTCGAACAATAAGTCAACCATATCATGGGCAGGAACACCAAGAATAATAACTATGAAGTCAATACCTTTGTATTCTGACATTTCAACTTCCATAACTAGTGACATGAGTCATCCTTACGGTCCTTTAACCCAATCGCTAACTATCCCTCAGGGGTTTATTTCCCTACTATTGAACTCACCTTCAATGGCATTTTCTGATCTTAATGTAGTCCCTCAGCTCTTTCTCCCGTATCAAAAGGTTACTGATATAGTTCTTTATGTTGCTCTTCCTCATGAACATAAGATACTCAGGAGAGATCGTATCGGGACCGCTACTCTTATTCAGCTTGATTAAGGTGAGGTACCGAAAGACATAAAGAAACAAAAGACTCCCATACCCACAAGTGAGGGGCGAGAAGATACTCCTCACATTTTTTGGTTGCAGCAAGTACAAAGTCAGAGGCCGGTTATGAAACTTAAAATAGAAGGAAAAAACCTTTGAAGTTATTAAAGATACAGGAGCTGATAAATCTATCATTAGTCAATCACAATGGCCTCCCACATGGCCTCTTCGAACTAGTGATACTACAATGTGGGTTATAGGTTCTATATCTTAACCAGAAAGAAGTTCACAATGGTTAACTTGGGAATGTGAAGGGAGGTCAGGAAGAATTAAGCCATGCATTCTTGCATCATTACCCCTTTGTTTATGGGGCCAAGATGTTTTAGAACGAATGCATGTAGTCATTAGAACTGATACACACACACATTTTTATCAGGGGCTGCTGCTGAACAGCCATCTTTAAAAACAGCAGACCCTATTCAATGGAAAACAGTAAAACCAATCTGGGTCAAGCATAAGACTGATATACCTTATAATCCTACAGGCCAAGCAATTGTAGAATGCTGCCATAGAGATATTAAAACCCTTTTGACTAAACAAAAGAAAGGGGGAATTGAGGATAGGCGAATACATCATAGAATTGCTTTGGTCTTATATACTGTTAATTTTTTGACGCTTGATAGTCAAGGGTTGACACCTGCCTATAAACAATTCAATAATGAAAAACGTCACTTCCATGATTCTAACTTAGGAATGGTTCTATGGAAAGACCCAAAGACTGGGCTGTGGCAGGGCCCATCAAAATTGCTAACATGGGGGCAAGGTTATGCTTGTATTTCCACAGGACATGGGGAAACAAGAGGAAAAGTTATGGGTCCCAGAAAGGAACATCAGACCTGTCTCAACAACTAAGCAAAATGAAATTGGACGACACACACAACAAGATGAGACGACCCAGATGCCAACGACCCTGAGATGACCAAATAAGAAGTTACTACAAAACTTGATTATGTTAACCATGTTACAGCTTGTCGAGACTGTGGAGAGTATAGAACAATGATGGGCTTTTATGCATAATCCGCCTTGGGTGAGAATTGTTACCTGGGGAGAAACAGTACCTGAAATAATCATGGTTGGGAATGGCTCAAAGTACTTTTGGGAATCAACTGGATATCAATAGGAACATTAACAGTTCAAAACCTGTTAAGTTTAATTTTACAGGATTGGCAGGTGATCCTCCGATTTGCTTTTCCAGAAACACTTCTGTGAAACCCTGCATCTCATTGCAATGGATTACAAGAACTGTGTATCTTGTTCCGAACTCTTGGGTTTTGGCTGGAGCACAAACATTTAACATAACTATGTTAGGAATTCTAGGGAAAGAGCAACATAATGGAACATTGAGAAGAAGTAAAGCACCCTTATGTCATAATAATAAGTCATTGGAGTAGTCGAATGCATCAGCTACCACCATTTATCTATTGTCAGATTCCTTATAGACAAATATATAGTGATAGTGAATTGCTCAGAGTTGGACTAGCTAAAATCCTGAGTCTCCTACTACATATGGAGGTTGGGTAATACCTGAATGGATCCCAAATAAAGGGGATCCTGAGCTACAAACTTGGAAAGCTATGGCTGCCTTAGATAATGTAACATTTTTGACTGATTATAACCATACACAAACTCATGTACATACCAATCAAACAGAAACAACCCAATCATGGGCATGCTTAGGGAATAATTATGCATTTATGACAGGAAGAGAGGGTAACGTAACTGTCAATATAACAGGAGAAGGATGGAGTAGGATATGGAACGTGCCATGTTTCAGTTGTACTGTTACTGAGTGTATAGGGCAAATGGTGAGAAGTCAAGATGTTGTAATCATAATTACAAGACCTGTATTTGCCTTAACCCCTGTAAATGTTTCAGGATGGTTTGCTTCATCAGCAGATCACACGTTTCATCAACTAATATTAAAGACAAGACAAAAACGATGTATTAGTTGCATAGTATTAGGAATTACATCTTATATCTCTTATATAATATATACATGCTTATATCTCTACTCGCTTCATCTACTTCTTTAGCATTATCTGTAACTTCTATACAAAATCAGGTTCACCAAGGTCATTACTTGGAAGATCTATCAACAAATGTGAGTAAGGCACTACAGATACAAAACAGAATTAATAATGATATTTATCACAGAGTCAATGCTCTAAGACAAACTATTTTAGCCATAGGAAATGAATTGGATATTCTGGAAACCAAGATGACTTTCAGATGTGGTTATAGATTTCACTTTATATGCATTACTCCTGTACCTTATAAAAGCTCCAAATATAATTGGACTAATATAAAAAATCATTTAAATGGAGTTTAGGACAATGGTGTTATTGCTCTAGATATCGATGCATTGAAGCAGATAGCTGGTGATATTGATAAAGCATCTATTGAGATGTTGAATCCTACAAAAACAGCTGATGAGATCTGGAAGTGGTTTCAGAATGTTAATCCTTTTGAATCTGTATACCATTGGCTTATTGCCTTTGTGTCTGATCGTTCTTGTTATTCTCTTTTTGGCTCCTTTACAATTTCATTGTATATCTACCAGTGTAAAATGGGTAAATACTCAACTCCATTATCTACATCTACAACAAAAGAAAGTGGGAGATGTAGAGGGCTGAGATGGAGTGTGTTTCTAGGTCCAGGCCAGAACTTATTTGAGGCCTGTTCCCATGAGAATATGCTCACAATCATCTGTAACGGCTCTCCAGGACCCTGAAAACATGATGTACTTGTAGATAAGAGTTCCTAGAATTGGAGGCACAGAGCCTGAGAAAACAACAACATACCCAAGTCACAAGGAATGAGGCTGATAGCTTCTTGGCATGCAATTGTGGTTTAAGGTTTTATAAACCCTTCCCTCAGATCATTAAACGGACTGCTTGCTTGCATCCTGCCTGATCCGTGTCTTTTCTTTCACTGCGTCTCCAAGCCATTTTGGGAGCGCCGGGCCACTCCCTTCATCTTCCTAAGCCCTTAATGTTGGTTTTCCCCATGCTCCTGTTTTTTTTCTTCTTCTCTCCTCTCTCTACACTTTCTCCCTGAACAATTTCATTCACTCCCACAGTTTCAATTCACTTTTATGTAGTTGACTCCCAAACTTAGTTTTCCAGTCCTTAACTATTTCTTAAATGCCAGACCTGCATTTCCAACTGATGGGGTCTAGAGGTTTAGGGATGCTGGAACCCCAAAATCACAACATGCAAGTCCTGCCCGAATGAATTTGACCCAAGCTTTTTTTCAGCCAGAGACAAGGTTTATTAAAGATCCGCCATATTGGCCAGACTCTTAAGGAATCTGAACATTTCATGAGCTATTGGCTAGGTTCTTAAGGAATCTCAGCACCTTAATGGAGACAAGATGGACCTTATATACTAAAAGACTGAGGGATCTAGGAAGGATCTTGATGGTAGTGACTGGAAGGTTGAGAATGGGGTCTAGATAGGGTCAAGGGTGGGAAGTAGCCAGGGGCCATAGGGAGGTAAGACAGTGGAGGGCTAGGCTAGGTTAAGGGTAACAGAGAATTAGGAGATTGGGCATAGGTGACAATGAAAGGCAAATTGATAGGATTATAGCCTCAAGGGAACTGCCAGAGACCTTCTTGATCAAGTGGGAGAATTCAAGAAGAATCCTTTAGTCAAATGAGACTCAAATTCTTTTTGGAGTAAGGGGCAAAGGTCTCGGCTTGGTCCTGTACCCCATCACAACTGTTTACCAGATATTTCTACCTCTATGTCCCACTAGCACCTTAAACTCAACATTTCCAGATTATCTAACCCCCAACCTGGTTTCTCTTTCAGACTTTGTCAGTGGCAATCATCTAGTTCTGATATTGTCTTCCATTTTCTGCCTTCTCCCTCCCTGTTCTCCAATTCATTTGTCATATTTAATTAATGACCAAATCCTGCTTATTTTATCATCAAAATATCTGTCACACCTGATCTCTCCTTACTATTCACACCACGACCATCTCATAAACTGCCCATGGCTACTTGCAAAAGTCTGCTAATGGGTAATTGAGAGGCAAAGCAGTGTAATGGAAATAGCAGGGGACCAAAAATCAAGGGTTCAAGCTCCATTTCTGTTGAGGCATATTAGTTATGTGACTTTGAGCAGTTAACTTCTCTGAATCTCAATTTTTTCATCTTTAAAATGGAGATAATAGTATTTCATGAGGTTTTGTAGTAGTAATTTGTAACCTTAAAGTGACAGAAATGTGTTGTTATTAGTAACAGAAAACTCTAAAAGGCAGGGCATAGTTGATTTATTAATACCTCTGAAATTGTGCAGGATGAGTAATAGGGTCAACTTTTTAATGTTGAAAATAATTTTTAATTCCTTTCTTTTGGAGAGTCTTTTTTTCATGTATATTGATTTTTTTTTTGCTTTTTTTTTTTCCTGAAAGGAAGACTGGTATCTACTTCCAGGATTCCAAATATAGGTATCTAGGGAAGATGTGCTCAGAGTAATATGTTGTAAGATGGTCTTTGAAGCTAGGGGAAAAGAATGAGGCACAGAGAGGTGATATACCACCTTTTAACCAAGGTTCCTAGAACAGCCAGACATTGTCTGTCTGTCTCTCTCTCACACTTTGTCTCTCTCTGTCTCTGTCTCTCTGTCTCTGTTTCTCTCTATTTCTCTCTCTGTGTCTCTATCTCTGTCTCTGTCTCTGTCTCTCTCTCTCTCTCTCTGTCTCTCATTTTAGAGTGTTGGTGTTGAGAGCCTGTCTTATCCAGAACAATTTGATTGTTTGTTTCCAAGGCAACATTTTGGTAGGGAGGTGGGAACCAAATGAGTTTTACTGGAGAAGGCAGGATGTAACAGTTTCCTTCATTCTAAAGCAAGATTGACAAGGCATTATGACTAAGATTCTGATGAGGCACCTTTCAGAAATGACATTTCTAGACAAAATATTGTCCAGTTATCTCACCTTTAAATGATCCTTTGGGCTCATTTTAACTTATCTAAAAAAATCCTTTTTGAAAAGAAAGCCAACCTAACAGAACAGTAATATATGTCACCAGATTACCATAACTGAGACTCAATGATAATTTGGTAACTAGCTTTCTTCATCCCCATTGAATATTTTTGTCTTCTTTGGGGAATAGTGGAACATTGTGGAGTTTCTTGTTTTGGCTTGGTCTAAAATTAAGTTCCCAATTGGCAAGTTAGGAATTTGGACCAGTTTCAAGAAACTGCTTCTTCATCTTAGGGAAAAACAAAATTTAAAAATTACCTCCTACTTTCTAGCCCTTGTGATACTGGGATAAAGTAAGTTCCAATTGAAAAATCCCTCTCAATATGCAAGAAAAGGCCTGCTTCTGATGCCCAGATTTTTATGTGGTTCAGACTCTGCGACCTTCAGGAACTTGCATTGAAAACCTCCATGTGATTCAGCACTCAGGTGTTTCTGATTTTCTACAAAACAATGATATTATCAAGGAGGGTCAAAGCATAAGAGATGGAATTGTTTTTTTGCCCATAGGCATCAATACAAACTTTAATGAGTCTCTTGAATTGCCATAGTATTCTAGGTAGCTCAAGATTAGTAGTTCTTAAGGTTTTATTGAAGTAGTAATGGATGCAGAAAGGACTTAAGATCATCTCTTTCCTACTTCTAGTGAATTATTCTCTCTCCATCTGAAAGACCTTCAAAGGCCTTTTGACTCACAGTGCTATCAGAACATGGCTGCCTCCTTATTTCAGGCCCACATAACCTCACATAGATTTTTATAATAGCCTTCTGATGGTTCTCCATGTTTGCAGTGTTTCTCCAACCTACTTTTTTTTTCTGTGTTGTATTTTTATTTATTTTGTTAAATGTTTCTCAATTAATTTTTCCTTTTTTAAATTTTATATATTAATTAATTTATTTTGAATTATTAACAATCACTTCCATAAACTTTTGAGTTTTAAAATTTTCTCCCTGTCACTCCCCACCTTCCCCCAAGATGGCGTGCAATCTGATATAGGCTATACATACACATTGCTATTAAGCATATTTTCACATTAGTCATGATATATAGAAGAATTAGAACTAATGGGAGAAACCACCTGAAAGAGAAACAAAGCACAACAGAAGAAAAAAAAATAGCAAATAGTATGCTTCAATCTGTATTCAAACTCCATAGTTCTTTCTTTGGATGTGGATAGAATTTTCCATCATGAGGGCTTTGGAGATGTCTTAGATCGTTGTATTGCTGAGAAGGGTTAAATCTATCAATATTAGTCATCACACAACATGGCTGTTATGTGTACAATGTTCTCCTGGTTCTGCTCACTTCACTCAGCATCAGTCCATACAAATTTTTCCAGGTTTTTCTGAAGTCAGCCTGTTCATTATTTCTTATAGCATAATAGTCTTCCATTACATTCATATACCACAACTTGTTCAGCCATTCCCCAATTGATGGCATCCCCTCAATTTCCAATTCTTTGCCACCACAAAAAGAGATACTATAAATATTTTTGTACATGTGGGTTCTTTTCCCATTTGTATGATCTCTTTGGGATATAGCCCTAAAAGTGGTATTGCTGGGTCAAAGGGTATGTACATTTTTATAGCCCTTTGGTCATAGTTCCAAATTGCTCTCCAAAATGGTTGGATCAGTCTACAACTCCACCAACAATGCATTAGTGTTCCAATTTTCCCACATCTTCTCCAACATTTATCATTTTCCTGTTTTGTCATGTTGGCCAGTCTGATAGGTGTGATGTGGTACCTCAGAGTTGTTTTGATTTGCATTTCTCTCATCAATAGTGATTTAGAGCATTTTTTCATATGAATATAAATGGCTTTGATTTCTTCATCTGAGAACTGCCTGTTCATATCCTTTGACCATTTATTAGTTGGGGAATGACTTTCATTCTTATAAATTTGACTTAATTCTCTATATATTTTAGAAATGAGGTCCTTATTAGACACACTGGTTGTAAACAGTCTTTCCCAATTTTCTACTTTCTTTCTAATCTTGGTTGCATTGGCTTTGTTTGTACAAAAACTTTTCAATTTAATGTAGTCAAAATTATCCATTTTGCATTTCATAATGTTCTGTATCTCCTGTTTCATCATGAATTCTTCTGTTCCGCATAAATCTGATAGGTAAACTATTCCTTGCTCTCCCAGTTTGCTTACAGTATCAGCCTTTATATCTAAATCATGAACCCATTTTGACTTTATTTTGGTATATGGTGTGAGACTTTGGTCTATGCCTAGTTTCTACCTTACTCTTTTCTTGTTTTTCCAGTAGTTTTTGTCAGAGTGAGTTCTTATCCCAGAAGCTGGGGTCTTTGGGTTTATCAAATAATAGATTACTATAGTCATTGACTAGTGTGTCTTGCATACTTAACCTATTCCACTGATTCACCACTATTTCTTATCCAGTACAGTTTTGATGATTGCTGCTTTGTAATACAATTTAAGATCTGGAATGGCTAGGCCACCTTCCCTTGCATTTCTTTTCATTAGTTCCCTTGATATGCTGGACTTTTTGTTCTTCCAAATGTATCTTGTTATTATTTTTTCTAATTCTATAAAATAATTTTTTGGTAGTTTGATTGGTATGGCACAGAATAAGTAAATTAGCTTAGGTAGAATTGTCATTTTTATTTTATTAGCTACCCACGAGCAACTGATGTTTTTCCGATTATTTACATCTGACTTTATTTGTGTGAAGAGTGTTTTGTAATTGTGTTCATATAGTTCCTAGGTTTGTTTTGGTAGGTAGACTCCTAACTATTTTATAATGTCTACAGTAACTTTAAATGAAATTTCTCTTTCTATCTCTTGCTGTTGGGCTTTGTTGGTAATATATAGAAATGCCAATGATTTATGTGGGGTTATTTTATAGTCTGTATCTTTGCTAAAGTTGTTTATTATTTCAAGTAGTTT